ATTAAAGAAAATTAGAGAATACCTAAAAGAAAACTTAAAAAAAGAATTCATTAGACCTTTAATATCTCTAGCTAATTATCTAATATTATTTGTACTAAAACCTAATAGGAAGTTAAGATTATATATAAACTATAGATAGCTAAACACAATTATAATAAAGAATTAATATATATTATTATTTATCTCAGAACTCTATAATAGGATTTGTAAAGTAAAAAATAATTTATAATACTTAACTTATAAAGAGCATATAATCTAGTTAGAATAAAGAAAGGAGAGAAATAAAAGACTACATTTTATATATAGTATAGTTATTATAAATATTTTTATATCTTATTATTAGAATTAGTACTAAGGAACGCAAGATTTATAGAAATCTAACTAGATAACAAAACTCAGAACTAAGAATATAAGATAGAAAAAATTTTAGACAAATAAGACATTAATAAAAAACTTTATTACTTAATTAAATAATTAGGATATATAGACTTAGAAAATATATAAGAACTAAACAAAAACCTTAGCCCTAAGACGCTTAAGAATTATTATTACTAGAACCCGGATTAGGCGAGAAGGCTAGAAACGCAGCCAGCTACTACTTGTTGAAGATGAACTTAAGCACAACATTAGATTACTATATACAAGGAGCTTCTTTACGCTCTAACTTATTAAGAGACTAAACACCACGCTTAATTATCTTGCCTTAAGCCTCTTCTAAAGACTTAATGCGCTTGCCTAAAGAAACAGCCTCTACTACTTTCTGCTAGATCTAAGTATTAGTAGCCAATAATGCCGCCTTTAACTTTTTCTTCTCTGCATTAAGATAGTCGAAATCGCTCTTTAAGAAATTACTGTTGCATCAACAACCTAAACAGATATACTCTGAGCACTTAGGAGAACGACTCGAAAAAACGCAAAGTGCCCTAGAGGATTCATAGGTAGAACATAGCATGTCTGCCGCCACCCTAAGGGCCTTGACGTAAGCAACTAAAGCTTTACAGTCACAAATAGAAGAAGATTTGCTCACCTTATATATGGGCATACTAACAAGAAAGGATAATAAAGGAATGCCTCTACCGAAGTTCTTAACTCTAGGTTTAGCCTTCAGGACAAAGACTAACTAGAAGGGGGATAGTGTTACAGCGCCTCCCAGTCAGGGAAGGTTGCCTGAGCCACACAGCCCGGAGCTAGGCACTAGGCTTAGACACTAAGACAAGACTACCCAGATGGTTGCTCATGGACAGCCAAGACTGAGCACACTTAAGGTTGCTCACCTCTGCTCGCTATTAAGCACCACTAAGCACATGCAGGTTGCTCACCTCTGCTCACTACTGAGCAAGACTAAGCATACGAATCTCTTATCTATATAAGCGCACTCCTTTCACAGATAATCAGATAGTTCTTCTTACTCTGTAGTCAACTCATGTTATCAGCTCATACCTAAGTTGAAGACATTCTAGTATTGTTTACTGCATTTCCTGTTCTACCTAACCAACCCTTTGGATAGCTTCTAGTTGAGACTCTTGTCTTAACTAGTTGAGCCCTAACATAATAGCTTTGTATCTTTATAATAAGTAATTAAGTAATTAATAATAATTACTATATAAAAGTAATCTAATTAGGATAATCTTTTCTTTTTTATTTAAAATCTGATTCTAAATACTAATAATATTAATTATTAATTACTTTAGAATTACTAATTTTAATAGTATTTAATTTTTTACTTTTTATTTATATATCAGTCTTTTTAAAGATATTTTATTAGCGTTATCAGATTTAATATATATTTACTTCTTTTCTATTAATTCTTTATTACTAAGAATCTTATAAGACAAAATCTTCTCTAATCCTCTATTACTAAGGATCTTATAAGGTAAATTCTTTTATTATATAATTAGTTATATAATAAATTGCAAAGTATAAATAATAAACTGTTATTTATTAAACTATATTATATTAGTTAAGAACTACTAAGCAGTACTAGCAGATTTAGTGAATTATTATAACTCTACTTTTAATATTTAAATATATTATAGCTATAAGTTAATTATACAAGTTTCTTTTTAGTTATAACAGGCAATAGGGATATCAAGTTTTTTTAAGGGAGGGAGGTTGTCAGGCTCACAGGAGATGACTCTTCTTGCTGGTATCAGACCAGCACCCTAGCAACATTAGATAGCGCTAGTTTATCGGTTATATAGCGGTAAGCCGACTAATAAAAACAATCAGATCTACACACCACCACTGTTGAACAGGTCTCTTGTGAATTATGCCACTGGCATAATAAGCCTGTTCATTTGCCTGAGCACTGGAGCACACGTCTTACGCTTGCAGAGATATAACTTAGAGCTATAGCAGCCATATTGGAGGCTAGCAGTGGAACCGGTGCGGACCTATCTATATGCCAGTTATATAGGTGAGCTAATGGAATGCGAGTGGCAAGTGATTAAAGGCCTATTCCTCTAGCTGATAACCTTAGTGTTTTGGACGAAATGCTTGTAACATTATCTACCGAATACTCAATGGCAAACCGCCATACTAGATCAAACCAGATCGATCGTTCTAAGGCTATCATCTTCAAAGTGCGACACCAGGAGTTCTCGGAATTCTGTTCGAGAGGCTTCGCGGAGGAAAGACCCAACCACAAAAGACTTAACTGGCATCATAATTGTTGCCACACCAATGCGTCTGTAACAGTGTCCGGATCTCTCCAGGTCCGTTTCCAAGAGTATGACATACATGGCATGACTTAGTACGGGTTTTTTTGTTTCGCAGACATGAACAGCAAGAATGCAATCTGCGGTGATAGATCCATCCGGTCTCTGCATCGAGAAATGACTGCAAAGGTCAAGAAATATCTTGGCGTCAAGTCCTCCAACGCGCCAGTCTTGCTTGGTATTTGAACGCGGGTTGAATGTAAGTGTGCCGAAGGCTGCACTAACTCGTAAATAAGGATCTTTGGTTCGACCGTTCGCATCCGGTTCTGCAGGATCGTCAAGAGAGGATTGCAAGAACTTCAAATGCCTAACTCGGCAATCTCTGCTTTTACATCCAAGATCAAGTTGCTCTTTTAGGTCCCTGGTCAAATCGTATCGCACCTGTGTATTAAGTGAAGCCCAGCTCCAAGATGGCATGCCAGGTATCCGGTGAATATGACTTCTGCGTACGCATTTTTCTTTCTCGGCGCAGAAGCTCCATTCGATGATGACACCACGGTCGTCCCGACCATCGAATTCAGGTTTGTTGTCGCGACGAGTTGCTCGGCCTCGCAGTGCATCATACCAGTATCCAGGTACTTCAGACAAGCTTATATCACTGAAGATGTAGCCAGTTTTGACAGAGCGCCATAAAAGTCCTTCGGGGAGTGAATTAATCCAGACCCCACTCAAGTATATGTGCTCTCCTTTGGGATTAAAATAGCGTGTGATGCCTGCCAATGCTATGATCCGGTCCTCTTCCCTGGTAAGTCGCATTCTAGAATACTGCTCGACCATGTCATTCCAATCTATGTTGATATCCGGCTCCTTGGGAAGAGGTTCAAATGGATATCGATAGCCGCCGTCACTGGGCCTGTAGGCCCTTGAGGCATGGCTGGCAGGGCGGTCACGACAATCCCGGGAGTCAGTTTTGCACAGAAATAATACTGTTCTGTCCGTGAACCAGAGTATGCGAGTTGATAGAGAAGCTTCTTGGAGTACCCAAGCCCGTTTCCAGAGCGGGCTCTTCCTACTAATTTGCGGGTAAGAGCGAGAGACAGTCCAGTCATGGCCTACGACAGCAAACTCTGTATCCGATCTTGTGGATTTGAGGGGAAGACATCCTTCGTGGCTAGTAGCGGCCCGGCCAGCGGCAATAGTGAAGATGGAATTGCTGTAGTAATTCCCAACTTTATACGCTTCGGACTCCCATTCTTCGGAATGACCGTCGCGATTTTGCATGATACAGAGTGCATCGACCCATAGATATTGTACGCCCATCCTTTGGCAGATGGAAATTGCTTCCTCGATCGTCTTCGGAAGGTTCGTCAAGCTTTGCATCATCGCATCTTCGGTGTCTTCGAACATTCGGTGGTCGGTATCTTGAATCGGACCCCAGCAATAGCTCAGAGTTACATAGCCGGAAAGCTTTCCAGAACGCGGCGGTGCGTCCAAGTCAGAGGCGTTTTTTGGCTTGATGAGGCGTGCCGGTTGCGGTGGATTGGTTGCACCAACTTCAATCAGCCGGGTCGGTACGATGGATGGATTCTGTCCACTTCTAATTTGCGAACACTCAATATGTTCGTTGACACAAGTTTCAACAATTTTCTTGAGATTTTGGAGCATGCAATGATAGCGATCTTTGTTTTGACCGATAGGTTCGCACAATCTCGGCGGCCGCCAGTGAACCATGCAAAACTTGGGGGACGTAAGAGAGAGGATTTTCTCCATGGCAAAGTGATCGAATCTACTGATGTCTTGACGGCTTAAAATTATGGCAAGAATTTGTGACGAATAAAACTAGTGACAATGTGGAGGTAAAGTTACTCACAGTTAAGAGAAAGGCTGGGAGATGATAGATTAGCGGATCATAACTGCAAATCACCCGCGAGCCATGAGGGCTGGGTAAGTGGTGGGTGAGGATTTTAGAGGGAGAACTCAAGTCAAGGGCTCGTTGCGACCTGGGATTGCTATTAAATATTACGTCAGCAGTAAAGCTAGAGGCGTCATCCTTTTCAGGCCGTCGCTACATCTTAAGAAAGCTGAAAAACTGAGTAAGCAGATTACAGCCATTCCATCTTGAGGGGTCATAAAGTCCAACGGTAAGCCGTCGGGCAATTCAATAACATCCGTGGACACAGCTTGAGTAAACTGACCCCAACGATATTTCGAAATGATTATCCATTCCATTCATTATCCGCAACTCTAGTCTTCATCCGAGTTGTGAAGCGCCGTAGGCGGTTCCTCTTTCCCACCGACTCCTCAGCATCTTCCGCCCGTTGCCTCGGGTTTCGTATCCCCTTCGAAGCTCTAACGATTCGCATTATCGCACGCTGGCAAAGACCAGAATGATCGCTATCGACATCCGAGACCGAGGTGGAGCCGCTCGAATACGGGCTGTCGGACAGTAGCGCTCTGCCGTGGTCTGATTCGTTATCAGAGCTGCTCTCTGACTCGACTTTCTTTCCGTACTGGAACTTTACGTACTGGGCTTGGCGACGTCTGAGCTGCCTGGACCACTGCTGGCGTTTCCTGTTGAGCTTCTTGATCCGCGGTCTTCGTAAAATCCCCAGAATATAGAGTAGTAATCTGATGAGGCGATCGTTCAGCATGCTCTTCCAGATGAAGGCCATGGATTGAAGGTTGAAAGCGATCATTATGAAGGGGATTGACACGGCAAAGGATATACCGAATAATTAGTATTATCAGTCTCCGGCCTCTGGGGAAGCCCTAAGAAAGGAAGGCCAGACTGCTCACATATGAAGCCTGAGACAAGGCGTAGGGGCCAATTAGTCTGACCGGTTTTTGGATCCTGGGGGAATGATGCAACGTCAAGAGCAAAGAAGGATGCCATGAATGATAGTGGTAGCTACAACACGGTCTCAGTCAGCCACGCAAGAAGTCTTCCAAGTATTAGTGGGTGGGATCACATACAAATATGATAGTGACAACGGTGAAAACGAGCATGGTCTACAAGTGTTAGCACAACAGCGGCAAATACAATGCCAAGGATGGTTGCTAACGTACATTGCCCTGTTTTGCTGTCGCCAGAGCACCTTCACGCGCAGATCGAGCTTCCCACGCGTTAGCAGCTTTTTGCTTAAGATCCATCAGAGAATTCAGCTGCGTGCCTTCGTGAGCTGATGGATGCAACAATCTCAGGAGCCATCACTTACTGAGCTCTGCACTGCTTCCGCTTGAGTTTGCATCCTTTTGAAGTCTGCGGTGCTAGTCTCAATGATGCGTCGAGCGTCTTCAAATTGAGACATTCTGTCATCGCCACAGAGGCCCAACACGAATTTCTCCAGCCCCGAATTCAAAAGCACAGATCTCTGGGTTTGAAGGATGGTCAATATTATCTTAATCTCATCTAGAATGTCCTTGATTTCAACAAGGAGCTTGGTCTCCTTGCCTATGTCTAACAGCTGTTCCAGTAAGTCCCTCTTCCACTTCTCGAAGTCCTTGTACTCTTTGCTAAGCGCATGTAGCTTTGTCGACCGCTTTTGAAACTTCTTGAACAGCGATGTTTCCTTGTCGCTCTGCTTGGACAATCAGTATTGAATTTGCTTGACCGATTTTAAGATAGACCTACGACTTCCCCTATGGAAATTTCGAAAGCTTGAAGAAACTGGAGCATATGGAATTCTTGGCAACGATCAAAGATATTGGAGCAGGTCGCGAGGATTCGGAAGACCAAGCCAGCTGTGCTTTGAATCGGATCGCGCATATGCCCAATTGGATCCAAGACGAGATCTCGCAGCTTGTCCATTGATCTCATACTCGTATCTCTCGAACCGAATCCCGTCCTGTCAGGGAAGCTCGAAATGATGATGTCTGTTTCATCTTCCGCCCGAAACAGCCACAGCCATAGCTGATCAACCATGAGAATGTTGTGTGTCTCTTGGCGTTCGCTCTTCGCCCAACGTGTGACGACTTGATCCTTGTCCCTCTGCTTTGTACTGGCAAGCATGTGATAGTAATACTGGTCTAGGGTCCTGTTCAGGGCGTCAGTACAACCTCTATAGAGCGGCATTTGCAACATACCGCCGAACATGTAAGGATGGTGGGTCATTCAGGTACGCCGTGATCAAGGATTTATCCTCCTCGTCCAAGCCGTATTCATCAACGATGGATGTGTCTGATTCTGAATGTGAAGACTCCGATTCCAAATCGGAGATCGGTTCACGAAGTGTAGCTTTGCGCTCCTCTGGTATATCATGTTGGGAGGCTGAATCGCTTCCCTCAACATTCCTGCAAATTGATTAGATCAGGCGTCTTGAGAAATTTAGGCGATGTGGTGGCTCAGATTAACGACAGCCACTGACCGAGCATTATCGCTTTCACTGCCACCCCTGTTCCTGTCCGCTGAGCCGGAGGCATCATCGGTCCGTTCTCTTAGGCGATCTTCTCTGCTCTTTAGACCATGCGACATGTATAGTTTCTCAAATAGTTTCCTGCGGGAATCATCAAACTCATAATCGCCTTGCGTTATCCTTGTGAACTCGCTCATTTTTGCCTGCCGTTTATTCACTTCGTAGCTCAGATATGGCATCTATAAGAGCTAAGCTCAAATTGTCTTAGGTACTACCGTAGGAGACAAAGACTTACAAAAATGGCAAGTAGTTCGTTCTGGTGGTCTTGGTTGCGAGGAGGGGCCACATGGGGAGCAATAGCGCGCTAAGGGAGCTTAGTCACAGATGACAGATAGGGCATATTGGGAGACATTGAATGAGATTATCTTACACTATGTGGCGCTTGGCTCATATGGCCTCTCCCAGCCCATATTGACCCGCAATACCCCAGTTTCGCAAAGAGGTGCTGCGGAAATGTTAACCAAGACAAGTTACATATATCGGATGAGCATGTGGTGTGATACCTCCACCCACATCATCTGGGGCCAATCAGTATGCGGGAAGTTGCAGAAATAGTGTGAGAGAAGGACTAACATTGTTCTCATGAATATGAAGCCATCTGCAGAGGGGCGTCTTCTGAGCCACATCCTTTGGGCGGACCTGTCTAAGTAAGTTCTCCAGAGTGGAAGGGCCGTAGATCACCTCTTGGACCGACACTGGTAAAGACCAGTGGTGGTCGGTACCTTCAAACGAGAAGACTTCTGTGGCAGTGACCTGGAAGCTTTTACAAGCAAGTTTGCCTTCTTTTGATTGCGGTGGCGTAGGTTTACGTCCAGATGATTGCTTTGGTCCTACTGCAGGGCCTTCCACCAGATTCAAAGATTGTTGGCGAAGTAATTTCGCAATGCGTCTGCTGGACTTGTGTCGAGCTGCCAAATCTATTGGCGTCTCCAAAGCACCATTCTCAGCGTTGACATCGGCGTGTAGGAGCTCCAGAACGATAGTTATGTCATTTCTCTCGACCGCATAATGTAAAGGAGTGTTCAAATCGTCTATCCTTAGGCGAAGGATCAGCGGAACCTTTACGCAGTAGTAGCCGTACCATAGGCTGAGGTTCACTAGCTCTTTGTATCGCGATATGGAGCGCTGTTTGGCCCCTAAATGGTACCGCGTTAGCTTAAAGTAGATACACGATCCAGCTCGCTGTCCACATGACAGCCAGTGGAATGGCCTCGAGATATCAGAATGATCAACATACCATCGGTCTCGGAGGTTGACGTTGACGCCTTGCTTGTTGATTAGAGATTCCATATCTTCCAAACGTCCAGTTGCAGCGTCGAGGAACTGACGTGTGTGTACGGCAGAAAGGATCCATTTAGCTAAATTTTGGAAATCCCGGTCCTCGGGGCCGGAAAATTGGATTGCACTTCGAAAGTCCTTCGTGAGCTCCAAAATTGATTCTGGATCGTCTAAGCGGTCAATGGCACGACCCACCTTAAGCTTCTCCGCTGCACGCTCAGCTTTTCGCTGCGATGAGGACTCGGCTGATGTCACAAATTGAATGATTGGAAACCCTGTGCGACGAGACATGTCTCCCGACTTCACTACACCCTTACGTACACGGAGTTTTGTCTTAGGCTGGTCTCCAGAATCTGATTTCATGCGAGTATCTTTCTGCATTACTTTGGCGTTGAACTCATCCGTGAGCCTCCGCAGCTTGGCAGAAGAAGCGCCCATATCCGCAAAGAATCTTGCATCTGGTGACAGGCCATATAACTCTGCGAGGAGTCTAGATGTCGTGTCGGATCCAAGTATTGGGCAAGAAAAAAAGAAAACGGCAGCGGTGTTTTCGAGAATAGGCTTTGACTTGGTATCTTGGCACGCCCCTTTGACCAAAGCTTGCTCAATGATGATGCCTCCATAAGCGTGTCCGATAAAGAGAATAGGTCGCGTCGAGCAATTAGCTCTTACTACGGCAAGATGGTTGCACAATTGTTCAGCAGCGGTCTCAAAATCGATCGGTACATCCGCATTATTCTGGATATCGAACCCTACGCCGATTATTCTCGCCTCGGGAATGATATTGGGTAGCATATCAGAGTCCTTAAGCCAATTGACCTTACCAGGCATTGGGAGAAGTTTACTCGTCATGAACGCTCCATCCGCATTAGAGGCGGACCTGCCGCGGGACGCTGGGCTGGGTCTCACAAAACTCTTGGTCGTAGGAGTACTTCTGATAGCGTCTGGAGCATGGAGAGTCCCATCTTTCCCTGACAGAGACTTAGCTAGACCAGGATTGGCCATGCGCTCCTTTTTCAACTCTCCTTCGGCATCGGCCCGGTGCTGTTTACTCGGTGGTTCCCTTTCGGCCTGTTGTGCTTGCTCAGAAAATTGAAATAGCGTCAAATCCGCGTTCCCCTGATCTCCTTGGCTACCATTGTACATATACACGACTACGATGTCGACCGAGTGTGATGGTTTCGACTCAGTTGGATGCAGAATGCGCGTTTTGAGGCGCCACTCCGACGATTTCGCCGATGGGGCTGTTGCAACGGCCGGCTTTTCCTCAATTGAAGGAGACATGTTCTCATCGGGGGCCCAGGGCCTGCCTTGGAAGCTATGCTGGCGTCGTCGACGGGGTTTAACGGGTCGAGCACTTCCACGATCTGCAGAATCACGACGTTGGGGAGGGTCAGTTACTCCTTCGATGTTGATTACTGGCCGTGATGGCCTCCTGGAAGCATCTGCGCGCTCTGGTGAAGGTGCCATCTCAACAAAGGTACAGCGACGGTTACTGTTGCAACGACTCAAGCGTCCTACCAATCGCTTTGTGCAAGAGACAGATGAGCACGTCTGGAAAGCCTTCGCAGTGATCACTCGTGCGGAAGTCGGCGCATAAGGTCAGGACGATAATGCCGGTCAGGGTTCTGTCGTGAATGTTTGGGAAGCCGAGAGCTGAGAGCGATTCTGCATCCCACTTGAGGAAGCACCGTAAGCCGAAGAGCCTCATTACGTGGACGGAGTACCATTTTGGGGCCTAAGTGGCGTTCTGGCGGAGAGCTGAAAGGCTGCATGGTACAGGTCGTGCATAAAGTGTGCAGGTGGTGATGGGGCCGGGATCGTGGATTGGCTGGGGTTGAATCAACTTGAATTTGCCCGCATTTAATATTAACGAGATGAGTGGGTAATTTACTCTGTATTTCTCAGATCCGCCATACACTAATTAATGTCAGCCAATGCTAAGGGATGAGAGATATCGTGGCACGGCATCTGGGCCAGTAAGGTAAGTAGATGTGTTGGTCAGCCGTGCTATGTGGCTTGGACGATGACTAAGTCAATGTGCGCCAGCACGTCTGAGGACAAGATACAAAAATACGGCCAGATTGTCATTCCGCCCCACCATAATAAGCGAGCTATACCTATTTAGGCTAAGATTACGTGTATTAGCTTGTAAATTGTAATTTTACGTAAAAATCAACAGAATCCGCAGCTGTTTTGCGCAGAATCCTATACAGAATCCGCAGCTATTTCAACACCAAATGCTACACAGAATTCGCAGCTATTTCGCGCACAATCCTGCGCAGAATCCGTAACTAGCGTCATGCCAAGACTTGCAAATGCCTACCAAAAATACACAGATTGAATACAGAGCTATTGAAACATCATGGACCACCGCAGTTAGCCGAGGGTAAGCAGGCAGTGGGTGCTGTTAGCTCTTTGATGTATTGCAGGAAGTAGGAGAAAGAGCTAAGTTGTTCTTTCCTCAATCTCTGGCAGGCAGCAATGCCATACCCTGATGCCACGAATGCGTTTTTGCCAAAACCAAACCTTTGGATCGACGGGCATATGCGTAAACGTATCAAGTTGTTCGAGGACCCGAATTTCGAACAAGGATTTACCGACTTGGTGCGCCGGGTTCAAACACACCGGTTTGACTCTCTGTTCTGTATGGTGAAGTTAGTGACGAGATCTCCGTGCAATGGCTCGAAACTAGAACAAGTCAATAGTCCATAGATTGCTAAAACGTAAGCTGAGGAGTCTATCTACAGTGCGGCCAGCGCTCTACTCTATATACTCCTCCATCGAACACAAGGGGTGCTACTAGTTAACCTGCGCAGAGGATCCGACGGAGTATCTGCAGGGCCAGAAGCGGTAGCTTCCCTCTGGAGGAGATTGTACTTCCCTAAAGGGGTCGTATCAATCTCCTGTTCCATGGTACTCGTACGGGGAGCCACGTGCCGTACGGATGCCTCTATCGGCGGCATAGTAGCTTGACGGCAAGAGTTCCGCGTACCGTTGTGGATACGCCATCGGCGCTGTCATCCGAGTGCGTGGCTGGTCCCGTGTATTTCCTGCGCCATAGCAGAGGAGATACTCCATCCATCACACTCCGAACGTCCCTTTCTCGAGGACACCTCCGACGTCGCCTGAGTAACTCCTACAATCACCAATGCCAGCTCTTGAGCAAGCGACTATAAGGGTTTAGTTTTAAAATATAAATTTTTATAAAATATAGTTTTTAATAGCCTTTAAGTCTATTATAATCTTTATCTTCTTATTATTTAAAAGTATATATAATATTATATAATATAAGTAGTTAATATATATTTAATATTATAATTATTTATAACTTTTTTTCTAGTTTTTTAGATTATTTCTTTAAAGAAATTCTTAGCTTTTTAGGTACCGCGTTAGCTTAAAGTAGATACACGATCCAGCTCGCTGTCCACATGACAGCCAGTGGAATGGCCTCGAGATATCAGAATGATCAACATACCATCGGTCTCGGAGGTTGACGTTGACGCCTTGCTTGTTGATTAGAGATTCCATATCTTCCAAACGTAAGTATCTATATAGTTCTTACTAAATATAATATTTTAATAAAATTATTATAAAAGATTTTTTAATCTTAATAATTTTTACTTTTATTAGATTAAGATATTTAATATTCTTATTCTTTTTAACTTTTTTTTAATTAAGGTTTATAATAATTTCTTATTTATATTTAAGTTTATTTAGTATAATACTATTTTAGAGTTTTAATTTATCTAAGTCTTAAAGCTATATAATTCGCTTTTTTCTTTATTTAAGTAATCCTTCTTTTTATAAAACTTAATAATAAATGCTTTTTTTTATTTCTTAGATATTACTTTTGTCATAGCTACTATGCTTATTGCTTACTAGCGCTAAGGCGCTAGATATTAATTAGTACTAGACGTTAATAAAGGGCATGCTTATTATATAAAAGCGACCTTAAGGCCCTTACTATTAACTCTTTAGTCTTAGGATAGCACTTAACATAGGCTAAAGATCTTGCGTACTTGTCGCCTACTTCTAATATAACATGTAATATTATCCTAAGACTGCTCTTTAACTAGAAACAGTTGTTAAACTATTAACTATAAGAAATCTGTATCTCTAGACTTGTCGCTAGCTTATTCTAGGTCAGTATTAATATTTAAGGTCAGACTTAAGTTTAAAGCAAGCCTCTCTGATACTCTTTACGCCTCTAACAAGATTAAAGAAGATAAGAAGATTTAGATCTCTAAATTTAAATAAGTAGAATCCTTGTACCTAGTAAGTAAAAGAATAAGGCGCCCTATATATATATATATAATAACTCTATAGTTAAGACAGAATATAAATATAGGGTTGATATACTCTAAAGCTATTAAATAGCTACGTTATTTAAAGAGGCTACTAATCTTTTTCTTATCTTAATAATTATAATACCCTCTTAAGTCTTATTACATTTCTTCTTTAACTTACGTAATATTCTATTAAAGCTAAGCTATATATTAATAATAATAACATCTATTAATAACTAGTTATTAATATATAAGAATATAAAGGCAGCTGCCTATAGTTTAATATAGTTGTCTTTAACTTATCTAATCTAGCTAGGATTAATAATCTTACTCTTAATACTAAGACTAATTATTAAAATCTTATCTTATTTTTTAATCTTTTTAATTCTTTTGCTAAAGTAGCCTAACTAAAAGTAATTATATTAGCTAATTTATAATCTAATATTAATATTATTTTAACTAAGCTATAGTAATAAAGAGTATTAAAATAAGCTTTAGCTAACTAGATAACTAAAAAGGTTATTCTAAAGTTAATAAAAACAGTAAATACTAATACTAATTTAGCTTATTAAATCTTAGAATATATTATGTAGCTTATTATTATTAACTAAGAGTTAAAGAAACAAAATATAGCCTTATAAAAATAAAATATAGCCTTACAAAAGAAAATTACTAACTTAATAAAGCAGGTAACCTGTTATTAAGCGTTTATATATTAGACGCCTGCTTCCTTAATATCTTTTATATATTCTAACCTATATATAGAGATAATAGCTAGCTTTTTCTTTTAAAAATAAAACATATTTTAAATCTATTATTAATCTTCTTTTTGTCACTTTTTTTAAGACTTATTCTGATATAAGTACAGAATTATTATCTTTATAAGATTAGCTTTTATAAGCTAGAAAGCAGAAGAACTAGTATAGAGCTCCTTAAGTCAACTTTTCTCTTGTCTCTTACTATTAAAGATCTTTGTAAGAGTACTCTTAAGACCTTTAGTAGCTTAAGCAGCCCTAAAGATATCCTAATTAAAGATTAGATTTATTAGACTTACTCTCTTATTAGCCCTTTTCTTTAAGATAACTTATAGATTATAAGATTTATTACTAGCCTTATAAAAGACCTTGCTAGAGACTATATTTATAAGCGCCTTAAATTAATATTATTATATTTTATTTAGACGCTTAAAAAGATCTTTATTATTATAAAGTAAGTCTTTAAAAAAAGTAATATACTATATTAATAATATACTCAGGCGGCTTATACTATCTTATACTAAAGTAACTAATTATTTAATACTTTTTAAGCTAACTTTATATATTTAGTATTATAGATTAGTAAGTCTAGCCAAAATTAGTATAAAGACTTATAGAAAAAGATATCTATTAAACTTCTTTATAAGATAAAGGATTAGACTTTTTATAACATTAGTATTATAACTTATTAGGTTATAAAGCAAGAAAACTAGCTTATACTAATTTATAAAAAAAAAGAAAAGAAGAGTATATCTATAACTATGTTTAACCTAATAACCTAAGGCCTAATACTAGGCGCTTAGAAGCTGATAGGTGTATTAAAGGATTAGCCCTAACAGCAGGCCTATTATAACGCTCTCTTACTCTTTCTCTTAGCTAGGCTACTAGTTCAAAATTAAAGCGTATAAGTTTTAAGAAGAATAATATAATAACTTATTTTTATTATAATAAGCCTGGCTATATAAAATCTGATTACTTTAATCTTTATATTAGTAAGATTAAAGAGGCAGAATTTAACTTTAGAAATAAGTCTTTTAGCCTTAATAAGAAATCTATAAAGTTAAAAAACAAGATGCCTTAAGTAAAATTATAGTCTTAGGCTATTATAAGAGCGTATCTGTTAGGCTTGACTAGCTTATTAAAGAGCTATCTCTTATTATAATATTTAATCTTAAGAATATGAATAATAAGGTTCTTAATAAAAAGATTACCTAAGCTGCTCTTTAATAGTTTAATATCTCTCTTATTCTTTTAGAAAGAGTTATCTTACTAATTAGATTTAATAGTTAGCTTAGTAAGCTAATTAATTATCTGCTTCTTATTATAGCCTGAATTTATAGCTGTATTCTTACTAATATTCTGCTCTTAATTATTAATTTTAACTCTTATAATATTATTCTAGGTTATAAATAATTAGTTAAGTATA